CAGAGGACCAGAAGTCAGCCTGACGAGACAGCCCGGCCATATGCTCTCCTCTCCCAGGTCTGCCAGCCCCACCTGCGCTTTAAAAAATACTTACTTCCTGGAGGGATATAATATCCCCTGGTGGACCTGGGGGTCCTGGAGGGCCTGTTATACTCTTTCCATCCTGCCCTGGCTCTCCCTGTAACACAGAAGGTATTTGTTACTAAAATTTGTTACTAAGACAAAATTCTACTTGCCTCTTCAGAGTGAACATTAAAATGAGCTGTACTGTACCTTTGGTCCTTGGCTACCTTTTTCTCCCTTTTCACCCTGCAAAAAACACACTGGTTTAATCAATGTCAATGTTTATCGGTGTTTTGGTTTTCTTTTGGGTGAACCATAGGAAAAACATCTGAAAGGACTTTATATTCTTTGCCTTTGATTCCGAGACGATAGTTTTGACTGCAATTCTGTTGCCACCTACAGGAAAACTGATGCTATTTATTTATTTCCATTTTTGAAAAGTTCCTGCCAAAGAGGTGTATTTTTTTTCTCCCGTGGTTAAAATAAAACTAGTTTACAAGCTCAACCGGTAACACAAGTGAGTTTTAACAGTTATTGCCAGCACAAATACTGTATCACCCTGCAACTCACAACTAGTAACCCACTGAAGCTCACCAGGTGTGAGACTGGTCAGTACCTGGATGAGAGAAACCAAAGGAAAAACTAAGGTTGTTGCTGGAACAGGTGTTAGTGAGGCCAGCAGGGGGCGCTTACCATGAAGTCTGTGTGGGTTCTAATGCACCCCGGTTTAGTGACGGGTACACTATACTGTAAAAAGAGCTGTCCTTCGGATGAGACGTAAAACTGAGGTCCTGACTCTCCGTGGTCATTAAAAATCCCAGGGTTCTTCTTGAAAAGAGTACAGTAGTTATCCTGGTGTACTGGCCAAATTTTCCACTGGCCTTTACCAATCATGGTCCCCTAATAATAATCCCCCTCTAAGAATTTGCTTGACTCTGTTCTCCTCCCCGCTGATAGCCGATGTACAGTGAGTGTACAGTACTGGCGCACTATGGCTGCCGTTGCAGCCATCCAGGTGGAGGTGAAACATACAATACTAGACACAGACAACACGCCAGCTCTGGAACTGCCACAGCGCCTCCCAATACTGAACTATCCCTAGAATACTTCTACAGTTTATCTACAGGAATTAAAAATGAGCTAATCAAAGGACATTTTAAACAATTGTTATTGTATGAAGGATGCTTTACAGAAAACTGTTAAGATATAGGATAAAAAAACAGAAAAAATCAATAATCGTTGCTCATAGAGCACAATGTACATTTACTGTATATTGTAGTCACCTACATTAAAGTCATGGTCACTTGCAAAAGCCCATGGGCACACAGAAGCCTTTAAACATTGTGCAACCAACAGCTTTTACAAAAAGTTTTCATTCGACAGAAGAAAATTAACCTGGGTTTTATCAATGAACTTAACCTGAAAAAATTATGAAATTTTGTCATATACTTTAGAACTGCTATACAAAAGTTACCTTTATTAAAATAAAATCTATTTTTGTGCATTATCTAAACTCTTGAGCTCTCGGATAAAAAACTCATGCCAAGGCCGAATCAGATATTCTTGAATTTGGGTGGTGATGTTTCAGTTGTATACTGTAGCAGATGGAAAAGTGACACTGACCCTTGGTCCTGGCAGGCCTGCTAATCCTGGTTTGCCATCTAATCCTGGGGTTCCTGGGTCACCCTGGAGGGAAAGATGGAAACAGCATGTTGAGAAAAGAGCATTCATGTAAAACATTACAAAACTCAGGAAGTACAAAGGGATAAAATTGCTGTTAATTTGAAAATCTATAAGATGCTCTTCATTTCACTTGTATAGTATTACAATATCAGCTTGTCTGTTATCATGGTAAACAATTTCAATACAGTTAACACTGTTTTACTTGCTCGAGAAATATACTGATCCGCAAAGGAAACATTAATCTATTTATCAATTCAAGTTTTAAGAAAAATAATGGATAAGGATTTTTGATATTTGTTAAATATTTTAGCTTCGTGTTCAGTAATTGTTCACTCATGACTGTGACAGGTACACATCATTGACTTTGACTGCTGCATAAGCACTAAGCGAAAAAGATTTGGCAGAAGTCAAACATAGTGAACATAAAGAAACAACACATATGCCCCTCTTATAAGAAAAAACTATGCCTTTACATCATTGGTATATGGGAAGCTGGACTAAGTCACATCAGGTGGACTCGCCAGTTACATTCAAGTCCTGTTTAGCGATGAGTTGTTTTACGCAGACTGCCTTGATAGGTGAGCAGAGTGCAGCTGTGTAGAATTATACACTAATTGTTTTGTATAAAAGCGCGTCAGCTTCAGTGGGATGTTCCAAGAGTGCTGGTTTTGGCGGACGTTTCTAGTTGCTACAGAACTATACTTGTAATGATAGAATGCACAGGAATGCACAGTGATAAATTGACCAAGTCCTAGGAGCTCACTTGCTACTGCCCTTCCTGCTGGCTCATCTGGACATGACATAATTTCAGAAGGATACTGGCCTTGATGCTAAATTTTGTAACAATAGCTTTCTATTGAGATGACAATGTGACAATTATGCCAAGGACACATTCTTGGATAGATTTGAGTGTTACTGAACTCTCATGAGACAAGCACTGTTGTACCAGGGTATATGTTTGTCAAGAGAAATGGGAAAGAGTCCCTGAAGTCCCCAACCTCGTGCAAAACATGAATCAAAGCTTCTATTGCTTCGCACAGTCGCCACATACACAAATAGTTTTTAACTTTTACAGATGATCCCCAGTTGATCAGCTTTTTGATGAAAATGTTAATCAGCATAATGAACGTTTAGGTCTGTTCAACAAAACGTCAGGACGCTTGCTACAGAAATTATTTTGTTATTTATCTGACAATAGCTTTGTGATTGTTGCAGTCATATGTATTGTCTTTCCATGTTCAGTACATAACTACCAGGAAGACTGAAATAAATAAGATTTGTGATAAAAGCAATGTTTTTTTTTACAACTGGCTATCAGGAATTCTAGGGAAATTAGAAATAATGGGAAGCATATTGCTGCAGATCTTATAACTCCTGTCTAAAGGAAATGACTTACAAGCATTTTTACTACATATTTACCTTTTCACCAGGTTGTCCATCCAGCCCAGCTGCACCCTGAATAGAACACAGTAGCTTATTTTTTTAAAATAATTTATGTTACGTGTAGGACAATGAAAATAATTTATTAATAATACTATTTTAACACTTTGACAGCTTAACTACTAAACTATTAAATGTGTTTTAATTTGAGGAGTTTCAGAGCAGTGGTGACAAGCATACAAACCTGTGGGCCGAATCCCACACTCAGAACGTTTTACTAAACTGATATCTATTGATGATGCAATATCTACTAATTGCACTTCAAAAGTGGGTATATTATTGTAAAGAAAGCACCAAAGAAGTAAAACACTATGTAAAGGTTGTATCTAGTATTTTAGGAATTCACTGTATGTACAGCACACATAATGTTTGTTTAGATTAAATCTGACCTGTCATAGCAAATGAGTTTGACACCCCTGGTAAAGAGAGAAAGTGAGAAATACTGTATATGGAGAGGTGAGTTAAAATTAGGAGACCCATGCTGATTTATTAGGCTAGATAGCAGCTAAGTTACCTTCGGTCCAGGAGAGCCAGGAAGTCCAGGAGAGCCCTGTTAATTAAAGCCAAAAGTACAATACAGTCTAGTTCAAGTATGAGGAAATACTCAGAGCATTCATATCATAGACATGTTATGTTACCAGCTAACATACTGCACATTAAACATTCATGTAGATACAGTAGCAAGACAAAAGACGCAACATTTCGGCTGTGGAGCCTTCGGCTGTGACACACCTAACACATCTGAAAAAGGCTCCACAGGCGAAAGTTTGTCTCTCTTTTCATTTCCTTTCAGCATGGAATAAACCTGTACCAGTTCCTCTTCTAAACATGCATGCCCATCAAGGCTTGCAAAAGTTCTCCCATGATTTGTTACATTCTAAACCTGTACCTTCCAGCTAGAAACACAACGTACATAAGTAGGGTTTTATTTTACACCTTTTTTAAAAAACAAATCTGTTTTCCTCCTTGGGTTTCAAAATGTTATACTGTATGTGTTTCTGAAATAAATGCAAAAATGTGGGATTCAAGACTTCTAATCGTGAAAGGCTGGTGAAAGAGAGGGGAACAGAGCAGCCCCAGTGGCTGTGATGGGATGTGAACTCTCTTCTCCTGCTCAGGCTGTCCGGCTGCTCACTCACTGGAGGTCCCCTCATCCCTGGCTCGCCGATGGGGCCTAGTCTCCCAGATCCTTCCATATCCTGCAAACATCAGAATATCAACACTGGAGGTGTTATCAACACGATATCAACACTTTACAGATGGTAAAAAAAATGAATCATAATAATAACAAAGACTAAGTATTTTGGGACTGGATTTTATTAAACCTGTTTAAATAATTGGTTCACTTGGGTGGCACAACTGTCAGTGAATTCTAGGTTAAAAAATAGGCTGTAAATTACAGACAGAAATTGTACATGGAACTAAAATATTTCACTGTTCTTGTAAGTGAAATACTGCAAATACAGCACATGCCAAACTGGGTTAAAGGATTTTAATTTCTGCTTTGAAAATAACAATAACAAAACAACATGACAGCTACTAAGAAAATAGTAAACAAGTAAAATGTGTTTTTCTTATATCTTTTTTTTTAAATATAACTCATATATATATTTTCTGTCAGTGAGATTAATTAAACCCATTCCTTTACACTGTCTCATGTTTTTTTTTCTGGATTGTGTTCAATCTATGAGGGATGACAACACACCTCAAAACTGTAGCCCCTCCCTGGGGGCCCAGGAGGCCCAGGGGGGCCCTGGGGACCTGGAAGGCCTCTCTCTCCGTTAGACCCTGGAAGGCCAGTTGGACCAGTCATCCCAGGTTCTGCTGCATCTCCCTGTGAGGAAGCGAATGGAGGTTGTGAAAAAGTAGAGGTGTGACTAGACTTTTACAAAAGCTGGGGCACATTGGAAGAAACATTTCTCAACAAGTGAATCAGTATATTACCAATTACTTAATTGGTTAATCCCTTCAGGATTTTTCCTGGTTTGAATAAAGTCTGCAACTTTGAATCAGACTACGTTACTGTTCCAATCCCTCTCCAGCAAAGGAAGATGTGGACTGTGTAAACGGTCCCCTAAAATACTGGAGCCCCATGGAGCCTTTTGGAGAGCCAGTCTTGACTAGATGAGCGATGAGGCTGCAATGGACAATACTGCAAGTGCACAGTTGCCTGGCAGACTCCACGGATCCCTGCTGTGAAGCAAGCCAATGACCCTCAGCTGACTCAAGCCTACTCAGCTCTGATGATGCTCTGCCTGTCACAAGCAATACTGGAAAATCCCAGTTGCAAACACCAAAATCTAGCTAGAGACAAAATAACTTATTTTGATGTAACACAGATATAAGGCAATAATGTGTTATTGTAACTGTAAGAAGATAAATAATGTCTTCGCAGAAACACTTAGTACAGTATGTGGTTACAGATACAAACACAATCAACAGACTGCAATTTGGTATCATTTGTCACGGTTATTTTACCATTTGTTTAACCTTGAAATACATTTAAATTTTCACGTTAAAACATGAAATGTCATGAAAACTTATTTTCATTATGGCAGACCAGGTGTTGTCATATTTTATTCACGTTTCCTTTGTTTCATATGTATGAAATACCTTTGGTCCACGTGGCCCAGCCAGGCCTGGATTGCCCTGTAAGAGAAAGCAACATATTGTAGTCAAATTACAAACAAGTGACAAGCAACTTTTTAGGGATATTTTAGAATACCAGCTTATAAAATAATTTGAGTGTTCTCATAAATATTTTTTTTTCAGATCATTGTTCACATGCTGTCATTTATCTTGGTCATATAAGCAACTGATATACAGTAGGTTTTACTGTATAGTACAGCAGGTGAAGAGGTGAACAGAATGTACTGTAGAAGTAGTGTCCTCTCACAGGTAGATAATTCGCTCCCCACTGCCGGCTGCAGTACTCAGGCCCCGTGCCATCCTGTAAAATCCTCTGGATAGCCTACCATGATATTTTCTCATTATTTTTAGGTAAGACTTCAGTAAACCTGAATAATAAGGTTTTAGATCACATTTTTCATAAAAAAGTACAGAATGATCATTGAAATGGGGATTCTATCTTATCAGTGGCACAATATGTCACTCTGTATCTTTGTTTTCACAAAATGCTGGCAGCTGCAATGCTTATAAAGTAGCTACGGTATATAGAGCTTGAACAACACAACGTATTTAGCAAACAAAGGGAGCTGTGCAGAACTAGTATAAGTGTTTAGGGTATCTCTCCATTATGTAACAACAGGTTTCCCTTACCGACCACAAGACTGCCAATCATAGAACTCACTCATGCCCGTTTTCCTTGTTGGTTCTTGTCTTTCCCGTTTGGGGTTTTTGCCAAGGGACCTTTTGGTTCTTCCCCACCTTCTTACTTTTTTTTTTTCCCTTTGCCCTCCCTCGCACATTTCCCTAACACCCCATGTGTCTCTCCACCCAGCAAGATGCTCCTTTTCACATTTTTCACACTAGTATGCACACTTGATTTTAGTGCTCTCTTAAAGCTTTGGCTTTATCATTTCTGCTGTAATATTTAAAACATATGCTATTACTTTCATAAGCTGAATAATAATTCACATTATTTGTTATTTTTAATGGACAATATTCGAGGTTATGGAAGAATCTGATGTGTCGAAACTAATCACGGGTGATTTCAGGAACATGGCTCCTGTGGTTGGTGAGAAATCTGTATTCTAAAATGCAATCAGATCTGTTCTAGTACACGTTGGGGTTTCAGTTGTATTGAATTAACAAAATTTATTAGAAATCACTTCTGGGACAGATAACACCTATCTTATTGTCAGGTTGTAACAATGCCGGCTTTTCCACCACCTTAAGAACAATCCAGCTAGTGTGTCATCTTAGTTTTACAGACAGTGTACTGTCTGTCATTCAATCTTGTGGACAGAACCCTTCTCTGGTCCTAGCTCTTGTGTTTGTCCCCTTCTGGGGGAGGTCTGCATGGCTTCTGTTTTGTTGATCTCTACTCAGGAACTCACTCATTCTGATTTATTCTTAACATCATATCTTTACTAATTACCATTTATTAATCTAATCATGGACTCCATGAGAGAATGGAGGATTATACTCTCTGTCACTCAATCACAAACTTGTCTTCCTAAAATACGCTTCTTCATTTCATCCACTCTTCACTAATCTACTCACTATAATTCAGTCAACTGTGCTCTCTCAACTCTTTGTCTTTCCCACTTGCATGATCTTCAATAGCATTTACATCTTTAACTATACTGGCTGATTGTCAGAAGGCAAATGTAGGAACAGGCGAGGCAGTAGGTGGAATGTCTCCGAGATTATTCTGTAAAATTCCAAAAGCACCAAAACCTAAACATATAGCAAAGCTGAAAAATAGGAGTCGAGTTAGGGATTCTACAGCCAAGTTTCAGATTATTTCTGTAAGGTAACCAAATCCAAACTTGATGCGAAGCCGTAGTCCAGGAGCAATGGGAATGGGAACGGGAGAGCTAGGGAAAACTAGAGCCGAGAGAGACGAAAAAGGTTTCAAAGGAAAAAATCCAAAAGGACGTTTACGGGTGAGAAAACCTCAATAGGAGGAGTGGAGTGAGAGGGTATAAATAGGGAAGGGTGTGTGGAATGAAAGTTGATTAATAAGTGCATGAGTTTAATTGCACGCGTGCAGTTTGTGACACTGATTCTGTATGTTAGCAGCAAACAAGTGTGCTACCATCCTGACATACTGTAGTAGAAGCCAGTTTGTGGTTCTTTCACTCACTCCACACCCATGTCTGCTGGTGGCAGAGCCAGGGGTACTCAGAACTCAATCTGTGTCATCTAGGCTCCTTATACTCAGCTACAGGTAAGGCTGCTACTTTGCCAGGTGATGCCTTTTTCCTCTATGTAGCAACACCTCTAGCCAGCCCTGTTGCAGTTGGCCAACCCTGTCCCTCAGCTGCACTCCAAGCCCACAGATCCTGGCAAACAAACTGAGTTTTATCTTCAACCAGTAAATCAATGGGAAAGCCTGCATCACCAGCAAAGTACAACCTTGACTCAGTGTGAGAATCAGTTAAGTGTATTTTGCACTATTTTACATTTTTGTTCTTATTAAAAAACATTTTTTTTTGCAAATTAGGAATTTGTACACACGAGAGAGAGCAAAGACAACTGTTTTTCATACCATGCATGTTCTCTGACTCAATTATAAACGTACCTTTTCACCTTTTTCTCCTTGTGGTCCCACACCTCCATCACGACCTGGTGGACCCTTGAAAACCATAACAACATATTTCAGATTTGTTGTGTAGGTGGCCTGTGGTTCTTACAATTGGCAATGAATTTCAGCTTCATATTACTGTAGGCTTTGTCTTGACCCTTGAATTATAAAAATCTGAAAACAAAACCTCTCTTTGGACATATAGCTCAGAAGCATAATCTGTAGAGCTAATCTAGCGCCATGAATAAGTCAGACAACAACATTATTTTATGGAAAAACCTTCTTCCTAGAGTATGAAACTAATACTGTCATCTACAGTAGATCTTCTTTAAATATGTTTAATATCCTTCTAATGTAAAATAATCTGGCATGTGTTGTGGTGAACCCTGAATTGTATGGTATCTAAGTGGTCAATAAATAATCAGTAAATGGGAAGCCTGCATAATTAGTGCTACCAAGCCATAGAGTCTGCATAGTCTTTGGAAAAGACTCAGTTACTCAAAAGAGTGAAACCGGAACCCTAACCCTAAACCCTTTTATCAAACCCAAATCTTAAACCTAACCTAATCCTTAAACCTAAACAGCAACTAACTTTAACCATAACCTATACCCTCATTCTTTCCTTAACTCTAAACTTCTAAACTTAAAGCTTAACACTCACCTCACACTTACCCCTTACCTGACTTGAGTCTTATTTACACTTACTGAATTACCACCAGAGCTGCATAACCTTGACTCAGTGTGAGAATCAATAAAGTGCATTCTGGACCAGATTACATTTTGTGTTATTATTTTTTTAAAAACAATGGCTTTACAAATAATTCAAAGAGGGAAGTTATGTTTTAATGTAGTTAGTAAAAGCCTCCACCATTACTTAAATGAAAGGCAGATCATATCCAACAATGCAGACAAGCCATGTTTCAGAAGGACACAAAACCAAAAAGCAACACAATGTCATATTTATGTAACACCTAAAGAAGGCTCCACAGCCAAAATGTTGTGTTCATTTTGTTCTCTTTTCAGCATGGAATAAACCTTTACTTGTCCCTTTGTCATATTTATAAACAGTTACAAAAAACAAGTTGTGAACCCTTTAGAATTACCTGGATTTCTGCATTAATTACTAATAAAAATGTGGTCTGATCTTCAACTAAGTCACAATTATAGACAAACACAATCTGCTTAAACTAATAACACACAAACAATTGTATTTCTTCTTGTCCGTACTGTACACATTGTTTAAACATTAACAGTCTAGGCTGGAAAAAGCATGTGAACCTAATGACTTCTCCAAAAACGAATTGGAGTCAGGCGTTCCAATCAATGAGATGAGATTGGAGGTATTGGTTGGAGGTGCCCTGCCCTATAAAAAGGGCACACAAAGGTTACTGACAGAGTCTGCTCTTCTCAAGAAAGAGCTGTTCATGTGAACTATACCCTGATCAAAAGAAATATCAGAGAACCTTAAAAGAAGAATTGTAGAGATGCATAAAGCTGGAAAAGGCTAAAAAAGCATTTCTAAAGGCCTAGGTCTTCATCAATCCACAGTAAGACAAACTGTCTACAAATGGAGGAAATTCAGTACTGTTGCTACTCTCCCTAGGAGTGGGCGTCCTGCAAAGATCATGGCAAGAGTGCAGCGTGCAATGCTGAAGGAGGTGGAAAAGAACCCTAGGGTAACAGCAAAGGACCTGCAGGAATCTCTTGAACTTGCCAAAGTCTCTGTTCATGTGTCCACTACAAGAAAAACACTGAACAAGAATGGTGTTAATGGAAGGACACCACGGAGGAAACCACTGCTCTCCAAAAATAAACATTGCTGCACATCTCAAGTTTGCAAAAGACCACCTGGATGTTCCACAACGCTTCTGGGACAATGTTCTGTGGACAGATGAGACAAAAGTCGAACTCTTTGGCAGGACCGCACAACGCTATGTTTGGAGGGAAAAAAGCACTGCACATCAACACCAAAACCTCATCCTAACCGAGAAACATGGTGGAGGGAGCATCATGGTTTGGGGCTGCTTTGCTGCCTCAGGGCCTGGACAGCTTGCTATCATAGAGGGAACAATGAATTCAAAATTGTATCAAGAAATTTTACAGGAGAATGTCAGGGTAGAAGTCCATCACCTGAAGCTTAAGAGAAGTTGGGTGATGCAACAAGACAATGACCTGAAACACAGGAGCAAATCAACAACAGAGTGGCTTAAAGAGAAGAAAATGTGTGTTCTGGGATGGCCAAGTCACTTTATTGTGGAATGACCTGAAGAGATTTGTTCACGCAAGGAATCTCAGAAATATCAGTGAACTGAATCAGTTTTGTAAGGAGTAATGGTCTAAAATTCCTCCTAAACGTGCAGGTCTCATCAGCAGCTACAAGAAACGTTTGGTGGAGGTTCTGCTGCTAAAGGAGGTTCTACCAGTTACTAAATAGAAGTGTTCTCATACTTTTTCCAGCCTGGACTGTGAAAGTTTAAATTATGTCTTCAGTATTGACGAGAAGAATAATTACAATTATTTGTGTGTTATTAGTTTATGCAGATTGTGTTTATCTATTAGTGTGACTTATTTGAAGATCTGACCACATTTTTATGTGTAATTAATTCAGAAATCCAGGTAATTCCAAAGGGTTTACAAAATTTCTTGCAACTGTACCTAATAATTGATCATAGCCTATATTTTGATAACATGTTCTTTGGCATCTTGAGAAACACCAACTGTAGACCTCTGACCATAAAATAATTCTAATATTTTATTAACAAAGAACTAATGAGGTGTTGGTGCAGTGGTTAGCATTGCTGCCTCACAGTGCTGGGGCCCTGGGTTCAATTTCAGACCTGGGATGCTATCTGTGTGGGTAGGGTACACCCTGGATGGGATGCCAGTCCATTGCAGGGCAGACACATACAGTACACTTACACTAGGTAAAATTATCTTTACAAGACAATTAACATACCAATATATTTTTGGACTGTTAGAGGAAGCTGGAGCATCACACAGGAAGCACCCCAAGTCCAAAATCAAAACCAGGGACCCTAAGCTGTGAGGTAGGAATGCTAACTACTGTGCCATAGTGCTGCCCTATTTAAAACTTCAAGATCAGAATTTAACTGAATATATCTGACTAAAATGAATGTTGCAATGCAGAATTTAAGGGTACAGATCAGGCTGCTACTTCTCAAACGCACAGGACATCTGCTTAAGGATGGTTTAACTACAAAGCTGCGAAAGCAGGAGAGCTGAACATGCATCTCTTCCTAACCATTGCAGTTCTGTAAAATATAACAATCACCAAGTTTTATACTGATACAAAAATGTTCAATATTAATGTTAATATTAATGTTATTGAAAATAATTACAGATCTGGTTCAAGGGGGATTCTGTGATGGAAAGGCTAGAGATACAGCAGTTGTGCTTGTAGGTGTGAAGGAAAGAAAGTGAGACAATTCAGGTGTCGGTTATAATCAGGTCCAGAATTAATACAAACACCGAGAAAATACTTAAATATTGTCCTCTGCTATCATAGACATGCAGCAAGATTCACAACGTGATTTTTACTGTGGGACACCGGAGTACTTACAAACATGGCACTTGTTTATGAGCCCAGGAATACAAAATGTCAACAAGTGCAAATTTGTTTGGAATGAGTAAGGATGACATTAAAATGACATTTGGGGTGGAGCGGTGGCACTGTGGGTAAGGATCTGTGCCCGTGGCTGGAAGGTTGCCCGTTCAAATCCCACAGCCCGCAGCCACAGCTGGCTGAGGAATCCTACTCTATTGGGCTCCTGAGCAAGGCCCTTAACCCCAACTGCTCCAGGGGTGACCTAAGTATAAATGCCTGACCCTGCTCTCTGACCCCAAGCTTCTCTCCCTGTCTGTGTGCCTGTGTGTCTCATGCCAAGCCGGGGTAAGCGAAAAGACAAATTCCTAATGCAATAAATTGTATATGGCCAATAAAGTGATCTTATCTTAAAAAATAGCTAACAGCAAGGACAGATTCACTTTAGATTTGGCAACACAGTAGTGGCTTTAACTCAGAAACCAGTGGTAACTCATATTTGTAAAATTCAGCTCCTATGTGAAGTATCCAGTACACACAGTAAACTGTTTTATACTGAGTTAATGTCCTATTCAGCTTAGCTGAAGTTGTGTTTGTCTTTTCAATTCAATGAATTTCCAAGAATCGTGTATTGTTGCCTGAAATTTAATGAAGTACCCTGTGCTTTGGGAACCATGCACATTCATTCAATACCCAAGAAGCAAGAGCTAGATTTTTTTTTTTAGATTTCCATCAAGGCATTTTGGAGTTAAAAACAGTTCCTTTTGAGCAGCCTTGATTAAACTTGTTAGAACAACTTAAAAAAACTGAGGGTGCTTTAAAATTATAACCAATTTGACAAATCTTTAGCACAGGCTTGTCAGCTGAATAGTGTGCATACAGAAAACAGCTATTTAATGGAAAATAATGGTGGATTTTTGCACAAAGACCTTTGTGTACAAAGCATATACGCTGTTAGAAAACATGTAGGATTGTGTGTTGGAGGAAAAATATTGCCTTTATACGTTTCCTAGTTGGAGCACTGTACTATAAGCAACCTGAATGAACCAGTGCTGTACCTTGCCAGAACCACTAAACTCCCCATCAAACACCTGCAAAAAGTCCAAGTCACAGCAGGTCAACACATGAAAAATAATAATTTTATGAGACAACATAAGATACTGAACGGTGTAACTGTTATCCCAAGACAATAGATAAAAAGGCTTAAATCTGGAAATTCACTTCACTTTACTCAGTTTTGAATTCATACAACCAAGTTGAGTTGAGCGTAATTTGTGTAAGTGGAAAATTCAGCAGTTGTTCTGAGGCTACAGTGCCTTACAATTCTCACTTTAACGCATTACAAGGTAAGTCTAGAGTATGCTTTAATTTGATTCCCCATTATTGAACTGCACTGTTTACAGAAAGTAAATGCCTTGATTATAGTTTATTAAATTCTTTTTTATTACTAAATGTAGACATATAGTTTATATGTTGTAGTATTACTACTATACACCACTATCACACTTGATATAATCAGGCATGTTTGACCTTGATTCCTGAATACATTTTTGAATGCTGTGAATGCTTTCAGCATCACCAGCACTTGTTTACCACAATTTACCTAGGTTTTACTATTTTACACATCATAATTATAAGACAATATTGTCAGAACAGGAATTCCTACCAAATGTTCTTTCAACAGTTCTTGTCCATGTCTTGGCTAATTGTTGATCTACTTAAAAGGCATATAAAGTCCAGCTACTCTTTCATATAATTCTTATCTGATTCTTGGGTAATTATTCACCCATTAAAATCCATCTATAGTTTCCAAAAAGAATAATGCACTCAGTAATTTGGTTGAAAACAAAATTGACAAACATATCAAAAGTTAACCATGGGAAATCTGTAGTTGCAACTAAAGTACCTTGGTTAACTTTTAAACGGAGGAAATCCAGATTTCTCCTGTGTGCCCTGGTAATGACAGTCTGCAACACCTGCTTAAATCATCATTGTTCTGGTCTTCAAACTAATCAGGCACTCATTGTACTTACGGGCAGTCCAGGTTTACCAATCTGGCCATCCTTTCCGTCTTGGCCTGGGGTACCAGGGAGACCCGGAGGACCTGGCAACAGTGCCGCTGAGGCATCCAAAGATACACTTGGACCAGGGGGACCAGGCTTTCCAGGGGGACCAGGAGGTCCTGGGGGACCCTAAAATAAAAGAGCTCTTATCATTTGAGTCTATATATGAACAATGTTCTCATGATGTACTAATTAAGAACTTTAGTCATTTTCTATGCATTTCCTTTCATAATGGAAGCACAAGAGATGTTACAAACACAATTTATAAAAAACATACAGATCCAGCCATTCAAAAAGAGGGAGGTAGGCTGCAATAAAATGTGGTGGACGTAGCGCAACATACCGCATGTTTTTTGAAATAGGATAATAGTATCATGAAGTACCTTGTAAAACCCCCAGGTGGAGCTAATAAAGCATAATGTCCAGCATTTGAGGTGTCGCCAGAAAAAGCCAGATTTCGAATCCCGATCACTGCTGAGGGACAATCTTTTTCCAATTAAGTATTTAAGCTGTATACTGTTTAGACTTTAAAAAGACTTTAAAATAAACTCTGTATTACAGCATGCTAAACATTAAAAAGTCAGTATATTTTATAAAAGCAAGATTGCTCAGTTGACAAAAGAACACAACCTTCCACCTTCATCATAAATAATTTAATTATGCATAAATATTTCTTTAACTTGGTAAGATACAGTGGGTTCTGGTTTTAATGTGCTTGTTCTAACATTATTAAGCTTATATTCTGTACTTCATAAAAAGTTATAACGTTTTATCCTTTTCTAAGAACATGTAGTAAGAACACCACTTGCTGTTATTGTAAAAAGATAAATATTTGTTTCTTTTTTAAAAAAAAACTTCTGTTGCCCTTGTAGTGGTAACCGCCCAGGCGGTTCAAAGCGCGATTCATAAAAAAGTCCACTATTATAGCTTATTGTGAACATGATGTGTCTCTTTCAGGTTTACATACAAATTGAGAACATCTATATTTTGTCTTAATCCAAATGTCAGCAGCCAGTAATCAGCCAACAATTTAACTTGGAATTTTAAAAAAAAGTACAACGCCTGGGATTGAATCCGGTCCATCAGCGGCATTCAAGAGGATACCAGCTGGCTAGGCTAAAGGAGACCTCAGCCCAGATGCCAGATTTGCTCTGAGAGGTTGTGTCTGGCAAAACTGGTTCCGGCGTGTGTATCTGGATGAATTATTATATGTCATGATTTTGTGTTTAAGCATTTCTTAATGGAAATATTTAAGTTAAACAAGGGAGGGGGGAATGATTATTTTTTTACAATTGCCAGTAATCGGAGAACAGCCTATCAACACGATGAGCAAAGGATTTTAATTTTTAAAAACTAAATACAAAATAAGTTTAGACAGTTAAAACCAACTTTTATGTGCGAAAAACAGGTGATTTTTCTTCCTAGTGATCAGCTTAGAATCTTTGTGTACGCTGTAAGATTTTTACTTTTTAATTAAATGTTTAAAATCCTTGAATTTCATAAATGCAACACACATTTAAAAAAACTTTTATTGTAGTGGTAATGGACAAAACACTGCAATCAAAGTATTACTTTTGGTTTGTTTCTTATATAGTGAATACATAAAACTAGTCCACTATTATAGCTTGTTGTTGGCTCTGGCATGAATTTCTGTATTTGGATAAATTAGCGATGGTTTTGTGATTAAGGATTTCTTCCAAAAATTCTTTAAGTTAAACAAAGGAGGGAAGAAGGGTTATTTTTACAATTGCCACTCTGAGATTCCGACTGATTTGATTCCCCTCATTTAGCTGAAATGGATAAAGAAATCATGCAGTAGTTATATGTATTGGAAAGCGCTCTGTTTTATTAACAGACACTTCGACTCAAACTTGTGTTGTATAGTGATATACTGTAGACGTGGGTAATGTCATCCCCATTAAACAATGTGCTTATTGCGCAAATCCTGCTAAACTAGAAGCATTAAAGAAGGTGATAAACCGTACATTATTTACTGGAGCACAGTTGAGTTCAAAGAAGTCTGTGAAGCCCCCCTGATTATTGGTACCAAACATTGTTGAGACAACAATGTTGTCTCAATAATGTACAGACGTAAAGAGACGTCAAAGTTCTGTACAGATTACAGAAAAGTGAACGGTGAAATTCCACCAGACATCGAATGTACTGTTTAACCATAGTCAAGGACCGATGTGCGGTTACTCCCTGGAAATTAGCTAGAAGAAGAGCATTATTGCACAATGTTGTGTGGCTCTGGGGGAATTTCTCTGTAAACTGAAGAGTTACAGAGGAGACATGTTGTGTATCGCTTTTTTACACTTGTAAGAATATTCCAATGCTAATGCGACACAGAAGATATTATTAATAACCTTTTAAATCTGAAGCTGTTAACTCTTCTTCACACCTGCATGTCAAGGTCATGGTTTCAAAATAAAAAAAACATCAAAGATTTGATTGCATGAGAACGTCATGATTGTTACGCAAGGATGTGAAACGTGACAATTTGTTACAATTACCATCAGGATAAAAAAAACATTTTTTATTTATTTGTGACTGCTGCAGTTGAACCCTTTGCAATGGCTGGATAGTTAACACTTCCTAATTGCTTTGTCAGTCTGTCTGTGGGGGGAAGTGGGGGGCTGTCCTTGACAGCTGACACTCCTCCATACACTTAAGTGAAAAATTTATAAAAACGCCAATGTAAACGTCATATTTACAATTTGTTGAAAATAAAAATCATCTCATTTATATAAAAAGTTATATCCATGGGCAGAGTGATGGAGACTGAAATGAATGATACTACCAGCTTTTTTCCCTTCTCTCTGGTGCGAGATGATAATGCGCCGGCATTAAAACGTTCCCATTTTTAATCATTCTGTGTCCGAATCAAAGCGGGTGAGAGAGAGAGTAGGAAGAGACACAGAAAAAAGTGTATAAAATTATATTTTATCTTCATTTTTTTACTTTATAAGTTTGTATTTTGCTTATTTTCTGATAGTCAGATTCAACATATATTTGAATAAATTATTGTAAATTAATGTTTTTACAAGATGTGGAAGGAGTGCAACAAATGATTCCATTGTGAATTTTAATATTATTGATTACCAATAGTTCATGTTAACACCTGACTTCCTTATTTAGATGTACTGTAAATAAAATACTGAACTAAGTGTGACATTCAGGAAAAACAATCGAGAATAGTCTGTATAGATGAAACTTTTCTAAATGTTTTAAAAAAAATAGAAGCTGTAGAACGGTCTTTACAGTTAGTGGACAGTGCGCTAATTTGTCAGCAACCTGCTGATCTGCTTAAAACCTGTAGAAAACATTATTTTGATTTCTATATGGAATGCGTGTTGCATTTACAAAATTAAAGTATTTAAAATGTTTAATTAAGAAAGTAAAAAGAACTTACAGCTTACACAAAGACTCTAAGCTGATCGTGCAGAAGAAAAACCACCCATTTTTTGTGTATAAAAAGTGTTTTTAACTGATTTATAAATATAAAGTCTTTTTGTGTTAATTTAAGTGTCCCGCCTTCAGTTGGATTGCATGATTAGCCTGAAACAACTCGGAGTTATTGTTATGATTTCTCTATTATTATTATTTTGGAAATATTTTGGCATGTTCCTTTTAACCACATTGCTGTCGATACTGTTGCAATAAACAATGAAACGCCCAGAGTTTGTAATGTCGGGCGCTCTGAACGAGTTAAACTTTGATGCAGTACAAATAAATGTATCTCCCACAAGCTATACTGTAGTGGCTTTAAAACTATACAACATCGCACTGTATACATGTGGCACATCTTTGTTCAAGTTTTAAAACTACAGTATGCAAAAACGAGTGTTAAGAAAAAACAGGACATTTGATTGCTGGTTGCCTTGTGTAAAAGATCAACAATGACAACAGAGCATGCTACTGAAAATTAATTCCCCTCCCACAGCAGAACTGTCTATTCTACATACCGTTAC